CCCCCCCCGCCCAGGGGGTGAGCAGGGTAATGAATGAGCCAGGGAGCAAGAAAATCTGTGACTGTGCTCTGAATTATTCATGACACAAGGCCGTCTCTCACCTGTTCGGGCTGCAGCCTCTCTTGCGCCCACCTCCCACTGGTGGGAACGGTCAGGGGGTTGTACGAGCCGCTCACAATCAAATCGTAATATTTTTTCCGCTGTTGACCTATAAGGAGGCGCAATATTTCCCGGTTACATAACTGTAAATAAATCACCGTGGAAGCCGACGTCACAAAACCAACATTCTCCTCCGACGTTACCTAGCAGGTCGAGCTCTGCGTGTACGATGTTACCCATGACGGTCGTGTTGTGAAGGTGAGCGACGGTCTCCTTTGCTGAGCGCGAGCTGGAAAACAGAACCTTGGCCAGGCCGAGGTGTTTACGCGTCTCCGGATGCAGCAAGATCTCCACCTCCTCGACGTTCCCAAATTTGCGGCACATGTCGGTCAGGAAGGGCTCGCGGATGTTGTCGTTCAGGTGGGCAAAAGTGACCTCTTTCTGGGGGAGCTGTCCAATGTAGAACTTATCATACTGGTAAGAGAGAGGAGGAGAGATTACATACGGGGAGAACATTAGAAACATACGCTCGGCTCACATACATATGTATATCATTATAGGAGACATGCAGGGAGAGTAAAACATACTCTGCATGGTGCTTAGAGCCAGCGTGGGACACTGCAGCTGTCAAACCGGCTCTATACAGAGAGGAATCATGTAATCGATGATCCCTTAAAGTGACATTAAACCCTCATATTTTTTAACATAAACCAATACTGTAATGTGCGCCTTACTGTAATCCATGGTTGTTTCCCTTCTCTTTGCTGCTCTTCCTTTTAAATCTGTATCTCTTCTCATGCTGGGCAGAACTTCTGTTTTGCAGCAGACTGCCTTGTCTCTGGAATGGATACACGGTGTCTGTGTGTAGGTTCACAACCTGAGCCAGCACTACAGGAAGAGGCACTCAGCTGAAAAGGGAAGTTTTACCCCAGCATGAGAAGACATGAGGATTTAAAAGGAAGAGCAGCAAAGAGAAGGGAAACAACCATGGATTACAGTAAGGCGCACATTACAGTATTGGTTTATGTTAAAAAATATGAGGGTTTAATGTCACTTTAAGCTCATGGTCTCCTCCCTGAAGAGAGTGGTGACCGTCAATCACTGCTCTCTACAAAACTTCCCCCTCCCTTCTCTGTTCCATCAGCACTCCCTCAGCTTCCCACATAGAAGCGGGGAGGCAAGCATGGCACTGGCTCTAGAGGCAACTGTCACTTAGGCAGCCACTTAGGCAAAAGAACACCGGCTTCACTTGCAAAGGCTGCCTGACCAATCAGGAAGCCAGGAGGTGGGCTATTACGTGCCGCCCGATTGGTTAGGAAGCCAGGCTACCTAGCAATAAGTGAAGACGGCTTCCAAGCCAATCAGGAAGCCGTGAGACGGGTCATAACCAACCACTCGGCTTCCTGATTGGAAAGAAAGCCGGCTGCATGCCCCCTCGGCAGTGCCGGTCAGAGGGAGAGCTCTCCCTGACCGGAAGTTTAAAAGGCGAACTGAGGCGGGTGCTTCTCACTCACCTCATAGTTCTAGCCGACCTGTGACAATGAGACTGTCACAGGTCGGCTCAGTAGATCGGGAGGTGAGCGAACACATACCGGCGTTCGCTCACTTCTCGATCCTGTCACGGCCCTCTGCCGTGACAGGGGAGGGGCTGGATTCCCCCCTCCGATCCACCAGCGCTGACTGGCGGAACAGACGGGGGAAGGGGGTGGGTACAGCTGGCTCTGCCTCTAGATAGGCAGAGCCAGCTGTCACTCACGCAGCTGGGCGGATCCAGACATAATTGTCGGGATCCGCTTCAGCGTCTCAGTATAACGCGAGCTGTAGCTCCCTATATACTGAGCCTAGGGTGACGGGAGGACGCTAGTTTGTGTCCTCCCGTTACCCTAAGGAGAACTATGGGGAAAAGCCTTAACTGCATAGTTCTCCTTTAAGTATCGAAAGTAAGTATTGGAGCATTTGGGCGAGTACGAGGACTCACCCAAATACTCAGTATTGGCACAGGTACTAGTATCGGTGCCTCCCTAATTGTCAAGATCCTTTCTGGCTGCAGCGGGGCTTTTTGCACGGACAACAGATAGCAGGTGTAGCCCGATATCTGCTAACTTTGGATCGCAGGAGTACATTAGTAAAAGAACATCCCATCTGCTGCCCTACCAAAGTTGTGCTGTTTCGCAGAGCTGTGTAAATCTCAAAACAGCTTTGTTTCAATAAAACTTGCATTATGAAAATGTACCCGACTCTTGGCAAGTCCCACGCATACAAAGTCACCCATTACCTTGAATTTCGGAATAGGAAGCGACACTTCTCTTGGTTTACTCCACATACGTTGTGGCCGAGGATCCCGTACATCTCCCAGTGGAAGAAATGGTCCATCCTGGAGGTCAGAAGAGGGGAGACATTAGCAAAATGAGTAAAAAGTATCATCTGCTTTTTTCAAGGAAAAATACACATAAAACAGGCAAAAACCTCGCTGGACTTTTATTTTTTCCTTCACCAATTAGAAGAGTCAACACGTTGTAAAATATAACAGTGTGCGACTGTGGGGGGACATTAGAGTGCAAGCTCCTCTGTACAGAGACTGATGTGACTGGCTCAGTGTTCTCTGTACAGCGCTGCAGAATAGGTTAGAGCTATAGCAATGTATAATAATAGTGTGCGACTGTGGGGGGACATTAGAGTGTAAGCTCCTCTGTACAGAGACTGATGTGACTGTGGAGGGGACATCAGAGTGTAAGCTCCTCTGTACAGTGACTGGCTCAGCGTTCTCTGTACAGCGCTGCGGTATATGTCAGAGCTATAGAAATGTATAATAATAGTGTGTGGCTATGATTGGAGATTAGAGTGTAAGCTCCTGTGGTGCAGAGAATCACAGGAATGCTGTGAGTAGTGTTTACCTCTGAAATAGACGTCTGGTTGTTACCATGGAACAGATGGCTTCCAAAATCTAAATTATTTTGTCATTCTTCCCCCAGCCCTAATGCAACCCCCCCCCCAAAGACTGGAGCTCTGTCTGGACAGACTGGTTGGCTTGCAGTAAACAGCACAAATACACCTCACCGTTAGGAGTACCGGCAGTAGATTTTGGGTGTGGGTCTAGCCTATGGTGGATCTGTGTGGAGCACAATCCTCTCACTGTGAGAGTGCTGAGTAATTTAAATGAACCAACAGCAATCACAGGACATCATGCCATTTGCCTGCATTAGGTCATGCTGGCTGGAAGATGACGCAACCACAAGACAATCTCAATGGCCTGACCAGCAAAGGTTTGTATTCCCTGGATCCTTAAAGTGGATGAGAGCAGATCTGCTATGTTATAGGGAGCATCTAAAAATGCTAACTGTGCCCAAGCAGTGTCCTGAAAAATCATCCTTTTGTCTTCAATCCCTTCTGAAAAATAGCAGTGCCCCTTGAACGTCAATGCCGTATATCTGCAGTGTGAGATCATCCAAGGCTTTGCTGCTCCTGACTGCTGGTCTCAGGAGATATGGGGTGAGATTAGGAGAGGTAATTTCTGTGCTGCCCACTGTTCTCCTTGCTGGAGAGGAAGCTGTACCTGAGGGACTGCGGTGCAAGGATCTCCCTGCTTCTGCTTCCTCAACTGTGTGGAAAATGCTTCCTTCACCTCTCCTGCTTCCTCCACCTCTCCCGCCTCCTCAACTGTGTGAAATATGCTTCCTTCCCCTCTCCTGCCTCCTCAACTGTGTGTAATATGCTTCCTTCACCTCTCCCGCCTCCTCAACTGTGTGTAATATGCTTCCTCCACCTCTCCCGCCTCCTCAACTGTGTGAAATATGCTTCCTCCACCTCTCCCGCCTCCTCAACTGTGTGTAATATACTTCCTCCACCTCTCCCGCCTCAACTGTGTGAAATATGCTTCCTTTCCCTCTCCTGCTTCCTCCACCTCTCCTGCTTCCTCAATTGTGTGGAATATGCTTCCTTCCCCTCTCCTGCTTCCTCAATTGTGTGGAATATGCTTCCTTCCCCTCTCCTGCTTCCTCAATTGTATGGAATATGCTTCCTTCCCCTCTCCTGCTTCCTCAATTGTGTGGAATATGCTTCCTTCCCCTCTCCTGCTTCCTCAATTGTATGGAATATGCTTCCTTCCCCTCTCCTGCTTCCTCAATTGTATGGAATATGCTTCCTTCCCCTCTCCTGCTTCCTCAATTGTATGGAATATGCTTCCTTCCCCTCTCCTGCTTCCTCAATTGTATGGAATATGCTTCCTTCCCCTCTCCTGCTTCCTCAATTGTGTGGAATATGCTTCCTTCCCCTCTCCTGCTTCCTCAATTGTGTGGAATATGCTTCCTTCCCCTCTCCTGCTTCCTCAATTGTGTGGAATATGCTTCCTTCCCCTCTCCTGCTTCCTCAATTGTATGGAATATGCTTCCTTCCCCTCTCCTGCTTCCTCAATTGTATGGAATATGCTTCCTTCCCCTCTCCTGCTTCCTCAATTGTATGGAATATGCTTCCTTCCCCTCTCCTGCTTCCTCAATTGTATGGAATATGCTTCCTTCCCCTCTCCTGCTTCCTCAATTGTATGGAATATGCTTCCTTCCCCTCTCCTGCTTCCTCAATTGTATGGAATATGCTTCCTTCCCCTCTCCTGCTTCCTCAATTGTATGGAATATGCTTCCTTCCCCTCTCCTGCTTCCTCAATTGTATGGAATATGCTTCCTTCCCCTCTCCTGCTTCCTCAATTGTATGGAATATGCTTCCTTCCCCTCTCCTGCTTCCTCAATTGTATGGAATATGCTTCCTTCCCCTCTCCTGCTTCCTCAATTGTATGGAATATGCTTCCTTCCCCTCTCCTGCTTCCTCAATTGTATGGAATATGCTTCCTTCCCCTCTCCTGCTTCCTCAATTGTATGGAATATGCTTCCTTCCCCTCTCCTGCTTCCTCAATTGTATGGAATATGCTTCCTTCCCCTCTCCTGCTTCCTCAATTGTATGGAATATGCTTCCTTCCCCTCTCCTGCTTCCTCAATTGTATGGAATATGCTTCCTTCCCCTCTCCTGCTTCCTCAATTGTGTGGAATATGCTTAATTTCCCTCTCCTGCTTCCTTCCCCTCTCCTGCTTCCTCAATTGTATGGAATATGCTTCCTTCCCCTCTCACATGAAGACAAGCCCCATCTCTACCAAGATGGCTTCCTCCATACATTGACACAATGAGGCATAAAACAGCTCTATGCATTCTCACACACTGGACAAAAAAACCATAACCGATTTCAAGCCATTACAGTCCTGATACATGTTCTCCCTTAGTAAGCTCTGATGAAGGGGGTATCTGTATGAGCCCCCAAAAATGTGTTGGCTATTTCTATACTGTCCCCTTAACTTTACATTGAATAAAGATGTATCAGGACTATTAAACAGAGTGTGGTGCTTCAATTCACAACCCAGCAACAGTGCAGAACAAGGCAAGTCAGTCGTTGGAAAATATTAGCTGCAGGTAGACCGTAGGCAATACGGGTGACTAGTCCCTTGTCCTCTGCTTGCCTTTTTGGAGCACGACTTCTACAGTACAGGTCCTCTTTGAAAAAAGGACCTAGGCCAAATGTTTGAAAACTTTCTACTAGCCATAAATGTGTAATTGCAAAGCCACTTCTGTCCAAAGAAATACATGCCTGGCCTATAGCGTGCATTGCGGGACATTCCTCCCAACATCCACCTGCCTCTTGTCCTCCCTCACCTCTTGGAAACGAAGTCTCTCTGCCCTGGTACAAGTCTTACAGTAATAAATCCTCAATTATATTTACAGAAATGTATTCAGAACCCTCAGGGAAACGTAGACCACATCGATTTATTTCAATCCAATCCAGATCTACAGTAAAATGCATCTCACTCTGCGCCCGTCAGTGCAACATCCCCCCGTCAGTGCAACATCCCCAAGCGTCCAGAAGAGGGGCTCCCTGTGCGCATCACAACCTTGTCACATGACTGCCGGGGTCAGGGCTACAATTCTA